CGGTTGTATTCCAGGAGACTGTTGTGAATGTGGATAATTTGGAGGTGGATGTGCGTAAAATTGTTCGTATTGAGGGGGGAATCCTGGTGGCATCGGCCCTGGTGGTGGCATCTGCCCTGGTGGTGGCATTTGCCCTTGTGGCGGTGCTGATTGTGGGGGTCCTTGTACGACGTGTGGTGGTATGAACTGAGCTTGACCATTTTGGGGTTGGGCTGCGGTCGGAAAAGGTGTTGGGTATTGGTTCGGTTGAGGAGGCAAGTGCATTTGTTGCGTAGGCATTGCATAAGCATTTGGTGGACCATTAGGAGGAGGTCCATTAAATTGTGATTGCGGTGGTTGAAATTGATTTGCCGATGAATTATGACCCGGGGCAGCTAATAAAGACTGCAGTATCCCGGGAAAAATTCCGCTAGGTGCTGACGTCACCGCCGGCACATTTTGAGAAATTTGATGATTAGGCGGTGAGTTCGCTGGAGCTATAACCATATTCGTCTGTGGAGTCAATATATGGGCTATCGGACTATTAGTTACAACATTGGCTCCAATATTTGGTTGTATATTACTACCCAAATGGCTATTATATGTAGTTTCTACTTTTTCTTTTTTAATTGACCGTGTTGCATTATTCACATTCAATTCACGTGGACGTTTTGTTTTCACTGATTCAGCTTCAACAATGACAATTGCACCCAATAATAATTTTGATTGACGTTTTTCATTATTTTTTGGTATTAATAGTTCATCATGATCTAAAAAGGTAAAAACGTCAGGTACTTTATCATCTGGTTCTAATGGAATAATGTACATTTCCCTAACATTACTATACGCATTTGCAACGCGTCCATAACGCATCACCCTATCCTTTTGAGAATAGCGTAAGTAATTAAATACCATATCAAATTGTTGCTTGTCATCAATATTTTCAACATGTTCAAATTTGATTATAGCAACATCTTTTGAAGGCGAACACCAACTATCAATTAAATAGGTTTCCGCTTCATCAACCCGTGACACGTGACCGTTAATTCTAATAACCGTTGCAAGAAAATCTTCCCAACATCTTTCTTTACTCCGTTTTTTTGCGGCAACAAGACTTGCCTTACCAGAAAATCTAGCTACACTATCATATACCAATTTACCAGACCAAATAGAAGTTAAAGGTAGTATAGGCTTATTAAGGTTAGTAGGTACTCCGGGAGGAGTATGAGGACTCATCGTAGGTGAATTTAATTCTGTGGCTTGAGGAGTAGGTTGTGGTGAATTCACTGGTGAACTCACCGACATTGCCGTAGGGCTACCTGTCACGTCAGTATCAAACACACCGTTATTAATATTTGTTAATGAATTCCGTGCAGATTGTTGATCATCATTATTTTCTTCGCGTGGTGTGCCTTTAAAAAAATTAGTTCTAAGGTCTTCAGTACTGGTTGAAGTCCTTCGAGACAAAGAATCATCTTTTGATGTATCACTGCTTGCGGATAATGGATTATTACCATCAGCTGTGCTAGCACGTCTTTTGGGTACCAAGTCTTCAATATTTATTTTCGGTCTCGTACTAATAGGTGAGGTGAAAGAGCCATTTGTGGTAGATGAATTTGAATTGACGTCTGGCGTATCACGCCTAGGTGAGTCATTTCCACCTTCAATTATTATAAATTCACCTTTATGAGTTTTCTTTATTCTTGGCCCATGATCAGCTTTTAAAACAGATTGTTGCATGCTTTCTCTACGAACTTTAACCATTAAAGATTTTTGTTCAGGATTAGCCAAATCCTCTGCGGACATCATTACTAATCGAACTGGTGGAATATCCCCTTTGACGACTTGCATTAATAAGTCTTCATTTTTTGGATGTCCAAGACTCGTAAGAAGATTTCGCAATTTTGATTTATAATTCTGACCCAAACCATCTTTGTCAGTTTTAGCAGCAAAATTATCATAAATAGATTCCTCGATACGTTTGGCAAGACGTTGAGCGAGTTGCTCCGGCCCTTCTTGTGTATTTTGCAATTCACCTTTTTCACTTAATTCATTATATTTTTTAGCGAAGAGAGATTGAAACTTTTCCAAACATAAATTACGCACTTTGGTAGCATTATCACCCGAACCTCCGGACAATTTTTTTTGCTGCATAGGTACCTTCTTAACTTGCGGTAAACTTTGTTTAATAACTGTTGGTGTAGTATTGATAACCGTAGAAGATGGTCTTTGATTAGGATTAATTTTATTATTTATATGAGAAGGCCCGTTGAGTACTGCAGGCTGTGCAGGTTTTGGAAGTACAGGACGATGTACTTTTTTTGTTTCCATTGTAGCAGGCGGCGAAGATGTTTTCTGTGGAACATCAGGCCCCTTTGTCATCTTAATCTCTAAAATCTTATCACGTAATAAACAACTTTCACCACAATAAGGATTATTTTCACGAGAATCATTTGAACAATCTTTAAACAAACATTTCGCTGGTTTTGGAGGATCCTAAATTAGATTTTAATAATAAAAATTAATTATATTCATGAAATCATCTTAACTTTATCTGAAAAACGATGACACTAATTAACATATGGATTTAGATATGTTCAACATTTAAACTTACATTAGAAGCAGGTTCTTCGATTAACAATGCTTTTGGATCAATGCCTGTAGCTTCTGCCATTGGACAATCATCTATAATTATTTAAATATTATTATCAGAGTTAGCAAGTTTTCTTAATATATATGCGGTTGCACAATGCCGCAGCATGTCAAAAAAGTAAAAAAAAGACTTTCAAATGCATGCAGTACAGAATCAGAAGAGAACGAGGATTGGAATTATGAATTAAAATTTCATATATTGTATTTCTTTTATGATAATAATACAACACATAATTTATGATATTATTCCAAATGATCTTCGTGATGTCATCACTTTGACGTATACATTGTGTTACCAACTCTGTTACGGCACCTGCAAAATACAGCGAAAAAAATAGTGTGATGCAAGCGAAACACACCTTTGATTAAACCAATGAGTGAAGGATTTTCTACTTGACATTTTGGGCAATGGTATTTGTCCACTTCCTGCGCCTGTTGCGGCGTGATATTCACACACTCACAATGAAACCTATATATTGACACAATTCAAGTATATTATACAGTCAACTATTGATCTATTTTTTGGGCCAGGCTTTATAAAAGTTATGAATAATTTATTTTTTGCGATCACTAGTGAAATTAAAACTTGCCACTCATTGCACGAATCACATTCAACCATGACTCCAAAAGCTGGACCACGACATATACAGTAAGGTCCATCATCTGTCTCCCCATGACCTTTTTTAGGTCTTTGTCTTCTTTGCCGAGGTTGGATTCCAGGGGTAGGACGCATTTGGTTTGCAAACCGAGTTCCGTAAGAATGTCCTTGTTGGACTTGTATAGGCTGTTGAGGAGGCTGTGTCATTAGAGTAGGATCGATAAGAAATTGTGTAGCTGCCTCAGGGTTTATCAACATAGATTGGGCATTATTATCCTGAACTGTTTGTACAGAATCATGAAGAACGAGAGCAGATGTATTCCAGTCTTGCGTAGTTATTTGACCGTCTGTCGTTGCACTGATATTCCATATTATTTGTGGACCGTCGGTCACAGCAATTGTATCAGGAGAGTGAACAAAGTCATCAAAATGTATATAATTCAAATCTTCAACAGTAAAACCATTTCCGTTTTCTATTGTGGCACCACTTAAATTTCCAAGAGATTGTTCATCATGTCTTTCGGTGTCATTTATATATTGTGACATGGAAACGTTTCCCATTTCCTCAGACATTACTACATTGTCATCCATTTCTCCACCGAAAGGCAAATTTACATATTTACTTAAATCGTTATTTTCCATTAATTGACTTATTACCTTTAATAAACTGCTATGAATACAAAAGCGAATTAAAAATTTTAATTGGTGCATTACAAAAAAAAGCGCGGGTCGCAAAAAAAAAAAAGCTACTCTATTAACAAAACGTACCTTTAAACAAGAGATTGGAACTAGTACGTTGTATAATAACTACTCTGCAACTTCTTTTTTTATTAAACACTACAAATAAGCTAAATTCAAAACACTAATTTTCAAATAATTTTTTTTTTAGATCTGTAAAAATCTAATATTATTCTTTATTGTCAATTCGGATACCTTTAGTTAGGACCGATAGACAGAAAAACTTTACTTTTTAACCTCCTTTTTTTTTTTTTTTTTTTTCTTTAAAACTATTGATTAACAGTTCAACGTTACTTCGAGTGTGAAGAATTACTCGCTATAGTTTATGAAAGGGAGCTATTGCTTCTATTTACAATATGTAGGCTGTGCAACCGGAAAGCGTGTGTCTTATCAACGACTATCCAGATTTAGAAATGGATGATGACTGATATAGTGATTACTTGCTATTGGATAAAAATTTATAAAAATTTTAGCGATCGAGCCTATTCTGAAATTTTTTTTTAATTTAATTGAACATTTTTATTTTTGCTTAATTTATTCTTAATGCAAAGCAAAAAATAATTTTTTGTTTTTTTTTATAATATTTTTAAAAAAATCTATCGGTTACGTATTAAAAATATTTAATGAATTGGTTTTCATAACCCTATTGGGTCAAAGTTTGAAAACCTTAATAACCGGGTGGGTTTTTGTAAAAAAAAAAAAAAAAGCCAGCTGGCCGGGTCTGATTTTTATAAAAACCAAGTATGGTCTAAAATGTATTTTTTTTTTTTTTTTTTTTTTTTTTTTTTTTTTTTTTTTTTTTTTTTTTTTTTTTTTTTTTTTTTTTTTTTT